TATATATATATATATATATATATATATATATATATATATATATATATATATATATATTAATCGGTTTAAAACGTTCTACGTCTTCCGATGCCATCTCTCCATGCCTGTCTCTCCATGCACCGTCTCCGAGAGACCACGCATCCTGCCACTTGTCCAGTATAATATTTCTGGCCTCAAATCTAAATTGATCTCCATGTTTATAGACTAGACTTCTTTGTTCTGTTTGGAGCTCCATCAATGGGATACCGGCTAGGACCAGAATGGCCTTAGTTAGAGATGTTTTATATGCAGATGTTACTCTCAACGCTATTTTACGATTTATGGAGTCTAAGATATGTTCGTAAAGTTTATATTTTAGAGATCTCTCAGATATGGGAGATGTATACAGAACCGTGGACGACACCACAGAGGCCAGTATCCTCCTCTTTTAAACCTGCCACCGCTGCACCGGTCCCTTAAGATTAGACATACCTCTGGATAGCTGCTTTATTTTTTTCATGAAGTTTTCGGATATGGGTGGTCATCCGCGCGTCTTTATCTAACTAAACTCCCATGAATTTTACTGCTCTTGTGATTTTAATGTTATTATTGCACCAGTATTGCACCAGCTAAATTCTACCTGCTTCATCCTTGTTGACCTTCTGTCTTTCCGCCAAAATGACTATTTCAGTCTTATTGGTAGCTAACTCTTTGCCCATCTCATTTTGCCCAGCTAATTTTTAATAGTGTATGCTGCAGCAGTCATTCTTTCTATAAGCATATATCATTTTCTAGCTAGATCGTTTGCTTTTTCATTGTCTTTTCTCCCTTGGTGAGGAGAGTCGGAGGGGTTTATTATTTTTGTCTAATTGGTTCAGCTTCTCTAGGCAATCTTTGACCAACTTCCAATTGATATTACTGAATTGATCGCCTTTAATGCCATCTTGATAAGATGGCAATTTCTTGTTACCGACAGTTCCATATCTAAGATAAGTAGTACACATCTTTCGATAGCGTAGGTTTCTATTCCGAGTTTGGAGTATTTAATTTTCTGCCCAAATATTCCTCTCCATGTCCCTGCTTTGGTTTTGGGAACATCAGTATACCACGTTATGGAGAGTCAGCAATATGTAAACATTAAAAGTATATAAATATTTAGAGATACATTGGCTTTTTGAAGATAACTAAAATTAAATAGATGCATAAATTGTGGAAATAATACAATTATATGGTGATAATGGCTGGTTACTTAAAAATGCTAAACCTTGCACACTGAAAGTAACATTTACTAACTTAATTCGTTATACAAATTTCTAGTTTTGTCGACCATGCCGGGTGAACGTAAACTTTTCAAAATTCAATTTTTAAATCTAAATTTCCGTATATGTTTACCGCATATTTTGTACTACCTGTGTTATTTATTCTGCTTTTATATTATTTAATTGTATTATTTAACTATGAAGAATACTATAAATATTTTTTTGTCATACGCTCCCAAAAACAGCTATTTTACGGACTCATTTCAGTCCGTAAAATGTTTCTTTTTTATTTCAGGCCGTAAAGACATGTCATGGCAAAATTATGGACTAAAATGTCTAAATTGTTGATGAATTTGTGTGATTTTGTGACAAATTTCGAATGACATGTCAAAATGCGATGAAATAAACAAACTCGTTACTAAGATATGAATTTATAAGCCAACTTTTTCAAACATTATAATTTCAAATATGGAAAATTTGCAAATATGCGTTCTAAAAAACTGTAAAAAGCGTATGACAAAAAATAGTGTATGTAACACGTACCTAAATTATGTTTTTTAGGACTCATCTACTATTTCGGACTCGGCTAACGCCTCGTCCGCAAACAGTAATGATTCGTCCTAAAAAACATCATTTTAGGTACTAGTTACATAAATAGCTATTATACGATTGTACACAATGTATGTCTCGAATTTAAATTCCTAAATTAGCGAAGTTTGCATACATAATTTGACAAGAAAAACGGAGCTAAAGAGTTATTTGTGTCTTCTTTTTTGTAAAAACAGACCGTATTGGAAAATTAACTAGTAGCCAATTTATTGAATTGTATTCAGGGATATAAAAGTTTTGCAATAAAATTTACTATGAACAATAAAAACGAGCTAACTTATTGTAATTCACGAGTTATTAAGTTTGTTTACTTTAAATGTAGGAACACACCGTTTTGTTTTTATATGTATGTATAGCCGAGAGCTTTTTACAGCTTCATATAATGTTTTGCTTTAATCTTCTATCCGTCGAATAATTTTGATAAAAATTGTACCGAATAAAAAAACGGAATAATGCAATTATTCCGTTATTAAATAATGAAATCTTATGTTACGCGGACGAAGTACGAGGCAAAAGAGCCGCCATAGGGCCTCGCGGCCGCTGTAGAGGGTCCCACTTGGGACTTGGGACTCACTCTTAAGGTGCGTCCACATTGCTCGCGAGCAGTCCGAACTAATACACGAAACACGAAAAACATGGCAAACAGTCGGAGCGAGATGTTCGCGGTGCTCCACGTGCTTACGATCACATAAAATGCCTGTTTCGACTGTTCGGCTCTGTCGCGATACATCAAAGAGACGCTTCGGAGCCATGCGATCATATTTTACGGCAGCTCGAAGCGCTATATAGCTGTTTGCGTTGTTTGTTTAGTTTTTAGTTTAGTTTCATTCAAAGGATTCGGTATTTATTGCAGCATGATGATACTACCATGATTTTTCTTATTAAATAATAAACAACCATCATTCTACAGCAACAATTTTCTGTGATTTTTCTTTTTGATTGTGTATGTCATAAGATCCTAATTAATAAACTGCAGCACTATGGGTTCAGGAGATCATCTCTCGAATGGTTTAAGTCATATCTGAGCAACAGAAGTCAACTTGTGAGGGTGGATACCACGATGTCTTCTAGCAAGCCAATAGAATGTGGAGTACCACAAGGCTCAATACTAGGCCCTATTTTGTTTCTTCTTTTTATTAACGACATTGCTAACATAAACATCAGTGGCAAAATATGTCTTTTTGCGGACGACACTAGCTTCACTTGGAGCAACAAGGACATCGCGGCACTTCATAGGATTATATCAAATGACTTAATCACCATTAAATCTTGGTGCGATTCGAACCTCCTGAGTCTCAACATTTCTAAAACTAAGGCTTTGTCGTATAAAAACTCGTTGCAGCCTTTTGTACTTGACAACACCACCATTGACGTCGTAAAATCCGTAAAATTCTTAGGGCTTGTTGTGGACAATTCTCTGAAATGGGACATACATATCGAAGCTTTGTCGAAAAAATTGAGCTCTGCCTGTTTTGCATTAAGGTCTGTTTCTAAGGAGCTTAACTTGTCAGTGGCTAGAACTGTTTATTATGCACTTTTTGAGTCGCACCTCAGGTATGCCCTTCCATTCTGGGGTACGTGTTGTGCGGCTCAATTTGACCGCATTTTCAAGCTCCAGAAGAGAGCTGTTCGATATTCACTGGGACTAAACAGCAGAACTCATTGCCGGGGCTTTTTTAGAGAATTAAAAATATTGACTCTTCCTTCCTTATTTATATTTGAATCCGTTTGCCTAATACGTAAACATGTATCAGCTTCTCAAGAAAGGCCATCTCACACTTATCCACTCAGGAACGCGGAGCAAGATCTTTATCTACCTACCCCACGCTCAGAGTTAGTTAAAAGTTCAATATTATACAACTCGAAAAAAATGCACAATCACCTGCCATTTGAAATCAAATCCATAACATCATTTTTTTCATTTCGCAAAGCATTGAACTCTTATTTACTAGACAAGGCTTTTACGCCCTAAATGAATTATATTTGAATTGAAAATCGAATTTGATCTTGAAAACACTGGTCTAATGTTTGCTATTGCTATATTTACTAATGACATCGAAATTAATTTATTTAGAGGTCATTGATATTTTGCTATAAACTGGCTAAATATTTTTGAATATTATTTTAAATTTTTTGTTCTTTGACATTGTAAACATTTATAAGTGTTTATTTTAACAATAAGACTGACAATATTATTTATATAATGTTTTGTATTATCTTTTGTTTGTGTACCTTGTTTTTTTTCTACTTTGTTTGTTAGTTTACCTTTGTCTACAAATTGAAAAATTTTTTGACAATAAAGGCATTTATTTATTTATTTATTTTTTTGGTTCAGATTTACAAATATATATTAGTGTTTTGTTCTTGGATTAATCATATTAAATATATCTTTAATAAAATATAACTCTATATTTATATTGCCTACTTATCTTAATCTGATCTTTGAGAACTTTATTTATATTTCGGCATACGTCTGGTAGTATTTTTGAAATGCTTTGCTTGGAAACTTTGAATAAATAACCCAAACTGGTATGGTGAGTCTGCAGTTGCAAGGAATCTTAATATTATGGGTTATGGCCAATCTTTCTTTAACTCTTTCTTTAACCGGAATATACTTTCTAAAAGTTGTATTTTCTCTTTCTATACGGAGACCAACTAAGTTAATAAGTCTTTCAAAATCAGTAGCGGACATGCAATAAAATTTTTTAAAAGACATTCTGTCTGTAAATCTCGTAGAAGTTTTCTTTCACTGTGTTGTGATCTACTTTTGAAATTATTAGACATCCAACACCGCCTTTTTTTCTCTTTGTCTCCTTCGTTTTGCAATATAATGATCTCACTAGCAGCCGCTATTAAAAATACTCCGGTATCATCCGGTCCGAACAGTACGAACGCAAACACTACATTACAATGTGGACGTCGTTGCTTGCGAGCCGAAAGATCTTGAGAAACTCGACAAACAGGAAGCGCAAGCAACGCAAGCACAATCAGAAGCAAGAGCGCGAGCATAATAACGGGCAATGTGGAGGCACCTTTAGTGAATACGAGGTAAAAGCTATTTGATATATAACAATGTCAACAGTCAATGTTTACAATCATATTATTCAAATTTCTTTTGGTATTAATATAATCACTACGAAATATTTTACTTACCATAGATGTTTCGCGAATTATCTGTTGAAATGTCTTGGGCCTTGACACTTGACACTGTGCATATCCGAAAATCCAAACTATATACATTAAACACTCGACAAATTTTTGTAGAGAAACCATATTCTTCGAAATAGGACATTCCGTGGCGATTCTGAATTGGGCAACTTCTTATATCTGCAATAAATATTCTATCGATTAATAAAGATCATAATATACAAGGTGGTCCGAATTGTATTCGGGAAACTTCGGCAGCATATTCTGCAAATAAAAATAAGTAATGAAGTTCGTATAAAATATCATGAAATGCTTTATTTCGAAGATATAGGTGTAAAAGTATCAATTTTTATTCCGATTTTTTCCAAAAAAAATTCTGAAGTAACGTCGATATTTGGATGAACTGATTGATGATGATTTGTGTCTGAGTGTTTTTTGGTATGATAAATTTGATTTCAATGTCAATATGACTCCTCTTTCTAAGGAACGCCACCTATATCTTTATTAACTGTTTTGAAGAATAATAACTTTTCTAGCATTAAAGTAAATGATAAGAAATATACATTTCTGCTATTTTTAACGTAAAAAAGGTATCTTGATAAAAATCGCTACCAGCAACCATTCTTAAGATATTTGGAATTATCAATACGTGTCCTTGTAACAAACAATGAACATGATTATAGAATTATCTGAATGAAATTATGAATTTTGGAACTTCTTATTTTTTAAATTAACCTTAAATTTTTCTAGAAAAAATTGTAATAAAACAGTTTCTATTGAACCTTTAGCACAAAAACATTGACAAATTTATTATTTCAGTCTAATAACGATCTAGTCAACATGTTTAATTTTTGTCAATGACGTCAGTAGTGTAATACAATAATACGGACAAAAAGTTATTATGTACTCTTGAAAACAGTTAAGAAACATGTAGGTGGCGCCCTCTATAAGTAGGAATTATATTGACATCGAAATCAAATTTTTCATGTTAAAAACACTTATACACCAAATTTCTTCTAAACTGTTAGTTTACTAATTATTTAGAAAAAATCGAAATAAAAATAAAACTTCAACAGACTGGCGCTGCGCCGCGCTGTGTCGAAATGAAGCATTTTGGACATAAATTTATACGAACTTTTACTTATTTTTATCTGCAAAATAGACTGCCGAAGTTTCCCAATACAATTCGGACCATCCTGTATAATAATAATTATAGGCAATCAATATTTAAGGTAAGTACAATATGATCGAAAAAAAAACGGCGTCAGCGATGGCTATGTAATGAAGATCGCTGTCGCATTGAAGCCAGTGTGTCACATTGATTAAACCAAAATAATAAAAAAAACGTTAGCGCAAATATAGGGAAACTATACCGGGTATATCGTCGTCGTTGTAAACATAGGAAATCTCATGCAAATTTTGAACTATACAAATATTGGCTCACCTATTAATTCTAGAGCTAAGGAAATAGGGTTTTTAAAGGTCTGCCTATGTTGAATACACATGCAAATTTGAACAATCAAGCAGTAGTCAACAAGCAGAAGCCAACACCAGTGACATCAGGAAGAGCTGGAAGTCGTTTAACGCAAAGAAAGAATGAGCTGGAAGTCGTTTAACGCAAAGAAAGAATGAGCGGAAGGTTTCGTACAATAATACAGGGGTGCCGCAAAGGGCCCAAGGCCTCCGAGTAAGGAATCATCAAATCCCAGCAACCTAACCTTCTATATTTTAAGTTCTTATACATATTTTTTAAATAATAATTCATATCGTCCCATTGCTGCCAAAAGTCACTCTAACTTACTTTTTATTACTTCCGAGAAAAACGCGTCTAAAGATGAATTGCATTGTATAAAGTTGTTGTTAGTAACTATTCGGTATTAAAATACAGCATAAATGGCCAGACATCGTAGTTAACGACTTTTTCAATCGATTCCCCGCTTGAAAATATAGTTAGTGATTGAATATTTAGGTTATTCGAAAACATGTTAGTTAGTGACTTTTAGCAGCAATATAGGACGATATATTATAACTAGCCTACTATTGGCAGCCGCTTAGTGTTCATAACTAATGTATAAATTTTAATTTCTTTAGATTATACAGCACTTTTTATCTTTCTGTATTTAAATTTACTTTTAAGTGAAAAATTCCCAACTGAGTCACCTGGCATTGACAATAACAGACAAGTGTTATAAATATGTAATATTACTATTATTAAAATATAATTTTGAAACTAACTACATAATTAAAAACAATTACCTAACCATGCGGTTAACATCATGTTCGAGGAAATGAGAACTTACTAGCAGGTTGACAAGTTGACATAATGATAGTAAAAAGGTTATACAATATTTATCAAATTATTCGAAAAAATTGTTAAAGTAAACCATTTTCTAAAAAAAAGCAATACATACTTTAAAAAAGTTATTTGTGATGAATATTTACCTTTTTTTTTTAAGTAAAAATAAAATTTTTCAAAAAACTGTTAAATTTCTGTTGTTTTTATGTAATATACGTTGATCAAATCAAAAAATTAAAAGTGGTTCAGTGGACCAGCTAGTTATTCCAGCCAACTCTACCAGCTATGACAGATATAATGACGTCACATTAAGACTTAAAGTAGTACTGAGATGGAACAAGCAGTTGCAAGTTGACTAAAGAATTTTGCATTACTACACCAATAAAAAAGTAATTTTCACCTGCTTTTTTGTGCCTATAATTATGATCTAAGATCTATTTGATGTTTATTATATACTGTTATGTTTATTATTTATTATTTATTATTTCAGTATACCTGGTGGTGCATTGGCGTTGAAAATATAGGAAATCTCTTGTAAATTTTGAATTGTCCAAATATTGGCTCCCCTGTTGAGTTTACAGCGAAATCGTTAATAGGTTTTTAAAAGGTCTGCGTATATTAAATGCATTTACCAAATTTGAACAATTTTGGATAAGCCGTTTTTAACTAATTTAAGAAAAACTGCAGATATTTTTAAATTAAACTAACGTTTAGGAAATACAATATGACATTTACAAAATTATAAATTGACAACTTAAGGTATGTTGACATTAGCCTGGTTTTGCATTGTTATCTGTTCAGTTTTTCAAGCAAGGTAGTAAATCTAGAAGGATATTGGTCAGAAATGTAAAATACTGAGTTGTGCAGCGTACGGTTAATTATACCGGGTGTTGCATCGTCGGACGGGACATAGGAAATCCCATATGTAAATTTTAATGGGGTCAATTATTGACTTCTCTAATTATTTTAGAGAATAATTCTATTTAGGTTTATTGAAGAGCACTAAAACCCACATTCAAAAAAATAACTTTAGATATTTTTGATTAGCTCGTTTACGAGTTATCGCCGATTTCTTTTTAAATATTTCTCCTTTCTTATGACCCTGTATTTACTTATGAGCACCAGTCAAGGTAAAAGATAACTGTCAACTGAAGTTGTCATTTCAGAAATTTACCTATTTAGTGCTTTATTATTATTGAAAACTCATTCCTACATCGGTAATCTTAAAGATGTATTTATAAATACAAATTAATATGAATTAAAGTAAAATACAGTAATCAATTACAAGGTTAATTATAGTATTATTACAATATTCAATAACTTATTAATTTAGGTACTATTAAATTGTTAGAACTTAAGTTAGGATTTAAGAAGATGTTCAAATATTCCTCCATCGACTGCTAGACAATAACCCAGGCGATCATAAAATTCTCTTCTTACATTCGCTAGTTGGTAAACTGAAATTCTATTGCATTCGGCAGAAATAGCATTTTTTAACTCGTCTAGATTTGTATTTTTTATCCTTGTATATCCTGTTTTTTAAATGGCCCCAGAGAAAGAAATCATTTGGCAAAATATCAGGAGACCTTGCTGGCCAATTTACTGTATGATTTAGGCCAATAACGTTTCCGTTAAAACTATTGTCTAAATATTCCCGAACAGCCAGGGTACTATGTGCCGGGCAGCCATCCATTTGGTACCAAACTTCCTGATTTTCCCTAGCGGCAGTGGTAAAATTATAATAAGTGTGAGTGGCTGACTGGTTGCGACAAAAAATGTGTGTTATTCTGCTGGCCGTGTATTTTATTTTCAAGAGAAAAGAACTTGTGGAATAAGAATGGTTTTTCTGATTTAAACAATTTACACAAGTTAATTAAAAGGCATCACAGTAGCAAATCGCATATACAGGCTATCGTAAGAGAAAAAACTTTTGGAAAAACAAGAATTGAGCATATGTTAGACAATCAACAAAAATTAGCGGTACAGACACATAACGAAGAAGTAAAAAAAAATCGGGAGCTGCTTAAAAGAATGATAGATGTAGTTTATTTTCTTGGTAAACATGAGCTATCTTTTCGGGGTCATTGTGAATCTGGGAGCTCAACAAATAGAGGAAATTATGTGGATGTGATTAGTTTTTTATCAAAATACGACCCAGTTTTGAAACTTCATTTTGAAAATTCGACAAGGTTTAAAGGAACATCCAACTTAATTCAGAATGACCTTATTTTAAGTGTGGGAGAAGTTATGCTAAAGACAATTAAAAAAGAAATAAGTGAAGCATCATTTGTGGCTTTTATTTTGGATGAGACTACTGACATATCTAATACTAGTCAACTATCGAAAATCGTCCGCTATGTGACAAAACAAGGTCAAATAAAAGAAAGATTTCTTGGTTTTGTTGATGTCTCAATGCAAAGAACAGCTTTGGCTCTCAATGAGATTGTTTTATCAACTATTGAAGATCTTGATTGCGGTTTAAAATTAGTAGGGCAAAGCTACGATGGAGCAGCAGTTATGGCAGGCCAATTAGGGGGTCTCAGACTAAAGTTAAGGAAACTTACCCATCAGCCCTTTTTGTACATTGTATGGCACATAGATTAAATTTGGTGATGCAACAATCTCTCAATAAAATAAGACAATGCAAAATATTTTTTCAAACCTTAAGCGGCTTCGCAGCATTTTTTTTTAAATCTTCGAAACGATCCACGGCATTGGACCAAGAAGTTCATAAAAGGTTACCAAGAGTAGCTCCTACTCGTTGGAGTTACAACGGCAGGCTGGTAGAGACCGTTTTTGAATATCGACTACCCCTTATTGACTTTTTTCAAAAAATAATGGACAACAGGCAAGATTGGGATAATGAAACAGTGGTGTGCTCTACCGGTTATTTAAATATGTAACGAGAAAGTGATTTTAATTTTCTGTTACTTGTTTTTTCTCAAATATTTCCATTCTGCGATAATCTCTTTAGCGTTCTACAAAGTAAAATGAGTGATATAAATTTTTGTATAAGAAAAATTCAGGAATTTAGGAGAATAGTTTCATCAAAAAGGGATCAATTTGATGAATTTTGGCAAAAATTCGAATATTTGGACATTTTATCTACAGAGCCGGAAAGAAAAAGAACACGGACGGAAGATACTGTGAACGATAAGAAAATGGATCCAAAAACCCAAGCTCGTAAACTGTTCTACGAAATCATTGACAATATTTTGGGCCATATAGACGACAGATTTAACAATTTTAAGAGCCTAAAATTTCTAGAACTCGTCAATTTCGAAGAAAATAATGCACTTTCAGAAGAAGCCTTTAATTCTTTACAATAAAATTATCCGAACTTTTTTGACTTTCCCGCGTTGCGTTCCGAACTGTTTGTTTTATACAATACTTCAGAGGGTTTAAATAAACATAGTGTTAGTGAGTTATTAAAATCTATTAAAGAATGTGGACTACATCGTGCGTGTCCGGAAACCGTTAAGCTTTGTGAACTGTCACTTACCATACCCGCGACAAGTACATCAGCAGAACGTAGTTTTTCTACACTCAAGAGGATTAAAACTTTTATTAGAAACTCTACAGGACAAGAAAGACTGTCTGCTTTAGCAATGCTTTCCATTGAGCAAGAACTACTTCAGGAACTTTCTGAGGAAACCAAATTTTTACAACAACGTTATAGATGAATTTGCAAAGCAAAACCGAAGATTGGAGTTGCGTTTCAAATAAGGTTAGTCTCAGTAGTAAATCATAAATTTTGATATTTTTTAAAGTTTTTTTTTGTGTTTAAATATTATAAATTTATACGGAACAATATATTATATATAAATATTAAAAAAAACTTGGAACTTGATATAAGACTTGCCCCCCGCTCCACCGTTCCCTATTTCTCAAGGGCTGGACACGCCACTGCCTAGCGGCATCATGTAAAGCAGGTAAAATATGATTTTCGAGTAGTTCCAAATAATATTCTGCATTTAAATTTCGCGTAAGAAATAATGGCCCGATAACCCGATAATATTGTGTCCGAATATCCCTGCCCAAATATTTACTTTCTGTGGATATTGCGTCCTTGTTTCGACAAACCTGTGTTGGTTTTCTTTGTTCCAATATCGATAATTTTGAATATTTGGTGCATTCGTCAGTGGAACATATACATACCCGTTCCATCATATTAAAAACAAAACGCCTGCCGCCGTATTTCGTCCCCATCTGGTAGCTCTTGGTGCTTTTCATATTTGAAGGAATAGTATTTATGTCGCTTCAAAATTCGAAACGCTGTAGTGTGATCTATTCGTATTTCATCCTCAAGTTTCCTTGTGCTGATCTTTCCATGCACAATAAAACTTCCAAATCGGTATCATTTCTTGCATCTTCTCTTTGTTCCTGCCTTGCTTCACATCTGCAGTTATTTATTAGGGTACCTTTGGTCTCAAATCTTTGGATATTCCTTGCGATTGTAGATTTTCCAGGTATCGGTCTATTCGGATACAGAGCAGCAAACATGTCCGACACCTTTTGATAACTATCTCCTTGATAATATCATTTAATCATCAATACTTTTTCTTCGGTAGTGTAATTCATGTCTAATATTTTCGATGTAGGTATGAGTTTTTAATAATAATAATAAAGCACTAAATAGATAAATTTCTGAAATGACAACTTCATTTGACAGTTATCTTTTACCTTGACTGGTGCTCATAAGTAAATACAGGGCCATAAGAAAGGAGAAATATTTAAAAAGAAATCGGTGATAACTCGGCTAATAAAGTAAACGGGCTAATCAAAAATATCTAAAGTTATTCTTTTGAATGTGGGTTTTAGTGCTCTTCAATAAACCTAAATTGAATTATTCTCTAAAATAATTAGGGAAGTCAATAATTGACCCCATTAAAATTTACATGGGATTCCTATGTCCCGCTCGACAATAATAGTAATACCCGGTATACTATTATGTTTATTATTTCAACATACCTAAAGAAGCTAATTATTGGCTCCCCTGTTGATTTTTCACCGAAGTCGTAAATAGTTTTTAATGGTCTGCATATGTGTTGAATATACATGCCAAATTTGAACAATTTTGTATAAGCCGTTTTTAACTAATTTAAGAAAAACTGCATATATTTTTAAATTAGAACTGAACAGGTAAAAATGCAAAATCAGACAAATGTCAACATACCTTAAGTCCACTACGATTGTCAATTTGTTGTGCTGTTTACGCTACTACTTTATAGTACCTACATTCAAGTGTACTCGAAATGAATTTTTGTAATTTAAAACTAACGTTTAGGAAATACAATATGACATTTACAAAATTATAAATTGACAACTTAAGGTATGTTGGCATTTGCCTGGTTTTGCATTGTTATCTGTTCAGTTTTTCAAGCAAGGTAGTAAATCTAGAAGGATATTGGTCAGTAATGTAAAATACTGAGTTGTGCCCCCCCCCAGCGTACGGTTAATTATATACTATTAGATAGTATATTATTTACAGGGTGGCTCGAATTCGACGCTCATCATTGGGATTTCGGAAACCGTAAGAGATACAGGATCGGTTAAATGGAGACAAAGTAGCGCAATTTGATGCTCAATAAAATGCCGTATTGCATTTTTTTTGCATAAAATATTCTGGTGATGGAATTTTCTATACGAAACATCGGCAAATATCAAAGTGACTATACAGGGTGGTTCGAAATGTATTCCAGA